GTTAAAGGAATTTCGTGGCAGGTCTAAAGAACTTTAACTCTGTTTCAAAAACAATCTCTGCTCAAAAAGCTGTTTTGGTAACTTCCTGCTGACCTTCCAAAGGGCTTCATATCTCCAAGGGACTGATTCCCTAACCAGGCACCTGGGTGGAAGTCTGGGATCCTAACCATCAGACCACAGGCTGAAGTGCCTCTTTTGCAAGTCCCGCAGGGGACTGAAAGTAAGCAATTTCAACATACAAAGGATTTAAACTTGTTTTAAACCTAAAAGTCTGCTTCTAAGTAAAAATGGTCTTACGAGAATGTTTTCCAGGACATGCAGATGGGACTACTGACTTGTCCCAGATCTCCCAAGGCACTACAGTTTAGCCACCTGGTCAGAGCAGATTTCCGTGTTATCACTATACATGTTCATTTCACACCCCCGACTTTCCGAGTGGATTGATTTTGAGCCAGCTGGTTTGCTTCCTGCTTAAAGATCCTCAGAACCTGGGCCGGCCCGGTGGTGCACTCGGTAGAGTGCGGCACTTGGGAGCGTGGTGGCGCTCCTGCTGAGGGTTTGGATCCCATATAGAGACCAGTCCGCTCACTGGTTGAGCGCGGTGCGGGTGCGACACCGAGCGTTGCGATCCCGTTACCGGTCACGAAAAAAGACAAAAAGGAAAAAAAAAAAAAAGATCCTCGGAACCTTAGATTCTGAGCTCCAGAATCTCACTCTTATAAACAACACCAGAGGATCAAGGGTCCTCAGAGGTTACCTAGTCCCTCACCTGTGCTCTCCAGCAGGAACCGACACTCAGTGCAAAAGAGCTTAAGCCAAAAAGGAAATTAATTGGCTCAAATTACCCTGCACCACCCGGACAATGCCACCAGCAGGGATTCCACTCATCTCTTTACTCAAGAAACATCCCCAAACCTTGTCAAGGCCAGCCCTGGGAGCACTCTAGGGACCCAAAGAGGACACAGACTCACGGTCTGCTCATGAGGGCCCCACCTCTACAGACGAGTTCTGGGTCATGGAGGAAGGGGAGACGTCAGCAGGTGGAGGGAGGAGGTGGTGGGGTGAGGGAACAGCTCAGGTACGGCCTGGAAGCCCGAGGCCACCCTCCGTCCCTGTCCACATAGTGGCCAGCTGAGCCAGGACAGCTGGGGACTCTTGCTCCTACCTGGGGTCCTTGCCACAGGCTCCTGCTTCCTGGCTTTCAGACCAGGCTCCCCAGAGATCCTTCTCTCGGAAAGCTGGACCCTGCTCCATCCTGTCCAGACTGGCTCCACACCAGGGGACAGGGTGGGCCTGACCACTGGCATCCTCGGAGCCCAACCTCCCTCAGGTCATCAAAGCCACCCTTGGCACTTCCTCGCCTCAGCTGCACTGTTGGGTGAGCACGGCCTATTCCTCTCTCCTCCAGGCCTCCTGCGCTGTGCCCTCCGCCTGGGTGTGCTCTGGCTGCTGATGCTGGGCTCGGGCGACTGAGAGCTGGCAGAGCTGGGCTCCAACCCCAGCTCGCTTCACCTCCTGCGTCACTCCCCTGACCATCCTCCATATTCCAGCTGCTTGGCCACCGCCCTGGTCTGGGTTCTTGGCACTGCTGCCAGACTTTTATTTATTTATTTATTTATTTATTTATTTATTTATTTATTTATTTATTTATTTATTTATTTATTTATTTATTTATTTATTTATTTATTTATTTATTTATTTATTTATTTATTTATTTATTTATTTATTTATTTATTTATTTATTTATTTATTTATTTATTTATTTATTTATTTATTTATTTATTTATTTATTTATTTATTTATTTATTTATTTATTTATTTATTTATTTATTTATTTATTTATTTATTTATTTATTTATTTATTTATTTATTTATTTATTTATTTATTTATTTATTTATTTATTTATTTATTTATTTATTTATTTATTTATTTATTTATTTATTTATTTATTTATTTATTTATTTATTTATTTATTTATTTTTATTTATTTATTTTTTTGTCTTTTTCCGTGTCCGGCAACGGATCGCAACCCTCAGTGTTGCCCCCATACCGGACCGGGGACCGGCAACGGGATCGCAACCCTCGGTGTTGCCCCCGCGCCTCGCTCAGCCAGTGAGCGGGAACCGGTCTGTATGTGGGATCCAAACCCTCGGGCAGGAGCACCGCCACGCTCCCAAGTGGCGCACTATCCAGTGCGCCACCGGGCCGGCCCCTTTTATTTATTTATTTATTGGAACCTAGTTGATTGTACATATCTGTAGGGTACAGCATTGGATATCAATACCTGTGTGCAATGTGTTATGATCAAATCAGGGTAATTAGTATATTCTTCGTTATACAATGTAATCGATATTCGTGGCCCTTTACCAACTTCTCCCTCTTCCCCTCTCTCCCTTCCCCTTCCCCATCTCCGGTAGCCTCAGTTCTGTTCTCTTAAAAGTTCAATGTACTTTTGTGATTGTTGTATCTTTTATTTATTTATCTATTTGTTTATTTACTTATTTTTTATTAGCTTCCACGTATAAGTGAGGACACATGGTATTTCTCTTTTAGTGCCTGGCCTATTTCACTTAACATAATGTTACTCTAAGTTCATCCAGGTTGCTGCGAATGGCAAGATCTCATTCTTTTTTAATGGCAGAGTGGTATTCCAGTGTGTAAATATACCACATGGTCCTCTCCAGTCATCTGATGACGGACATTTAGGTTGGTTCCAACTCTTGGCTATTGTTAAACAGAGTTGCAGTAAGCATGGGAGTGCAGGTGTCCCTTCGACAGTATGATTTCCATTCGTCTGGGTATATACCCAGCAGTGGGACTGCTGGATTGTATGGCAGTTCTATTTGCAGTTGTTTGAGGAATCTCCATACCATTTTCCATAATGGCTGCACCATTTTACAGTCCCAGCAACAATGTAGGAGGGTTCCCCTTTCTCCACATCCTCACCAGAATTAATTATTCTGGTTTTTTGATAATAGCCAATCTAACTGGAATGAGATGTTATCTCACTGTGGTTTTGATTTACATCTCCCGGATGCTGAGTGATGTTGAGCATTTTTTCATGTGTCTGTTGGCCATTAGTATATCTTCCCTTGAGAAGTGCCTGTTCAACTCCTTTGCCCATTTTTTAATCAGATAACTTGTTTTTTTACTTGAGTTTGAGTCCCTTGTATATTCCGGTTCCTAATCGTTTGTCAGATGCAGAGTTTGCAAATATTTTCTCCCACTCTGTAGGTTGTCTTTTCCCACTGTTGATTGTTACCTTTGCTGTGCAGAAGATTTTTAGTTTGATATAATCTATTTGCTTATTTTTCCTTTTCTTGCCTATGCTTTTGGGGTCATATTCCTAAGTCTTTGCACGGTCCTACTTCCTGAAGTGTTTCCCCTGTGTTTTCTTTTAGGAGTTGTGTAGTCTAAGAATGTGTATTTAACTTTTAATCCATTTTGAGTTGATTTTGGCGAGATGTCCAGGTTAGTTTTATTCTTCCATATACGGATGTCCAATTTTCTCAGCACCATTTACTGAAGAGGCTATCTTCTCCCCAGTGTATGTTTCTGGTGCATTGCTGCCATGCTTTCCTTGGGCATTTCTTGGCCTCCAAAGTCACCCCCACTAGTCGGTCCCTACTGGGAGTGGTCTCTCTCAAGTGCGCTTTGACTTTTCCCTCCTCGCCTGAGGCTAAGCTCCTCCATGGCTCCTGCCCACCTCACGATAAGGCCCAGGCTGCTTGCTTTGACCTTGCCTGGTGTCTCCACCTTCAATTCACCCAACCCCTGAAACAGCCTTCTCTGAAGCCTGCCCCAGGCCTCCAGTTATGTTCCCTGCTGTTCTCACACCTTGGAGCCCCAGGGACCCTGCCCAAGGCTGCCAAACACTCAAACTCAGCTCCATGACGCTTCCCCCAGAAGCCTTTGCAGACCCCAGCACTGGCTGAGTTTCCCTCCTCTGGGTCCCTCTGCACCCCGAGTTTACACCAACCACCATGTGTTCCTTGTTGTCTGGCTCTAAGAGAAAGGCCGTTTCTGATTCATCTGTCTATCCACTGGGCACCTTGCAGTGTTCGTGGTCGTCACTGTTATTCGATGGATGGGTTGGTAAGACGGGTGGGTGACGAGTGAATGGCTGGATGGGTGAATGCCTATTTGGGTGGGTAAATGAGTGGTCAGGGCACGACTGCACAGCATGGCGAAGGTGTAGCTGGGCGGGTGGGTTTATGCAGGAAGAGCAGGTGGATGGAGGGACAGGTGAGTGTGGACAGGTGGACTGGCTGGATGGTGAGGGAATGGACAGGTAGATGGTTGAATGGGTACCTGGAGAGGTATGGGGCAGATGAAGGGCCAAGCGGGTGGGTAGATGGGTGGGTAATGGGGGACAGACGCTTCTCACAGTGATACTCAGAAGCTTCCGTGGTACCAGCACACGTGGGGGCACTGTTAGGTGTGGTAAAGGACACGCTCTGGAAATAGTGATCTAGGGTGACGTAAGTTTCCAGGGGAGGGAGAGGC